CATCTGCTGCCAGCTTCCGTTCATCGCACAGAGGCCAAGCTTTCCCCAGGCCGCTGCTGACGGAAGCTTGACCACAACACAAGCTGCAACAACCACAGCAGCAGCAACGACTGCAGCAGCTGCAGCAGCTACAACCACAACGTAGTGAGTGAGAAGGGACGACGGGGAGGATGTGAGCGCCACTGTACTGCCGTGATCTGATAAAATAAAACGCATTTTTTTCTCAAAATCAAAGTTTCGAAATAATCGCGATTTAGTATGGTTTTTAAAAAATTGCTAATTAAACAAACAAATAGCAACGTTGTTTTTATTTGACTATCACATTGAAGATATATCGGGTGCTCTGGTGTGATTTGCTCCTTCTTTCCAATGAAACATCTATCGTCCTCATCTCCCCTTCTTTTTTTAAATGTTTGTTGCTCTCTTGTAACACCTGTAATTTTCTGGCGCTCATATGACCTTATGCAGTTGAGGCAAAACCTCTACTAAAACTAAAGAAGATATATCTCATTTACCATGACTGAACCACATTTTAAGCTATCTGAGCTAAAGGCAAACAAATACGAAGAATGCGTTTTATCTATCAGATAACACTTGCACTGTTCTATCCCCGTCGTTTTGTGTACGAAAAATTTTGAAATTATGCAAACTGAGCTAAAAAAAATGTGAAATTATGCAATTCTGTTAATTTTAATAAAGAATGAGAAAGGAAAATAATCAGAGATTATGTAAAAATGATCAGATTTTGCTAAATTATGCGGGGTGTATAAAACCACGGGGACAGACTGTTGTTGTGGTGGATACTGTCGGAAACAGCCAGATACGTCTTGACTGCGACGTGGAGAGATTTTGTCGCAGACACGCTAGCCTGGTCTTGCCACGTCTTGTTTGCACTGGCAGGCTTTTGTCGATTAATAAATGTTCCTGGATAATGCAAAAATATACGTGTTTCTTTTTCTTTTCTTCTCCCTTCTCTTTTTGAGTTTTCGTCCACCCGTTTGTTTTGATGTTAATTTTGCTGGCTTTGAGTAAACTTTAAGAGAGAGGTAGAGAGAGAGAGAGGTAGAAGTAGAGAGAGAG